TAAGCAACTGGAGGGTTTGGCGCCTGTCTTCGATTCTTAACTAGGAAGTATCCAGTTGCTGATATTTTAAACAATCGTCAAAATTTAATAAAATATATTTCTAATGGCACATATCGTGTTTACTAGCGTATTCCTTCCTCCTATTTTCCTATTAAATTTACGTTTGAAAATCGAGAGGAGAAAAATACCCAGGACATGCTAATTTTGAAAAGACTGCGTAAATGATAAACCTAGCACATTAAAAAGCACACATAAAAACACTAATATCATAATATTGCTTCAAAGGACTTATCACTTTCAATAATATTCTTTTTATTTGCATAAAATACTTTCCTGTTTGTGGGTACATTTTATATTAATACCATAAATCAGATGTTTCTAAATCATACACTGAATCCCTAGGAGCCGATTATGAGGTTAGGTTATTTGATTACGGCAAAGCCTCGAGGGCTATCTGCCTAAGGGGAGGGATGCCTTCGTGGAGAAATTTCTAAGGAAAACTGTCTTGTATACATGTTGCACATGGGGAAAACCACGAAAACACCCATGCAGCCAGCCCTTTCGCGGGATTCGAACCTCGGATCGAACTACCAGTGTTGAGCGACTTTACCGCTCGGGCGCTGGTGGACCGCCGATTGTTAGAGTAAATAAGATAATAATTACCATGATTACAACATTCCTAATTCTATTTTTACACTGATTATCTTCTGCATCAAAAATAAAATCTGACTAACGGTAATTATAAAATTCTTTAGTATTATATAGCTTATAATCGTCTATATATTTCTTTCATTAATTTTATTTAAACATAATATGCTTTTTAATACCGTTTTCGTGGTGCTCGCCAAAATGACTGCCGCAAAAATAATAAATCTGTTCATAAATGTAAAGACATATTATGTGTTAAAGTTCACCTGTTGAGTCTACTTGCAACCAAATCCAAGGTACAAATAACAAGTAGACAAACATTTCGACAATATCGGAAGCAGACTTTATAACTGACTTACGACTCCCCAGCGTAATAAACGACAGAAACTGAAAAACGTCAGATCCTCAGCGTCTAGGTACTCCTATGTATCTTCGCTGCGAGCACTTCTGAAGAAGTGAAAGACCTCTTTTTATTCGACTTTAGTGAACATGTATCCTTCAGCTAAATGGTTGCGGAAAGACTTTCCAACTTCGAGGTTGAACTTTATTTAAATTAGGACTTTTACTCTCCGCACCATACTCAGTATGATTACGAACATCCTAATTGAGGAGAATGGAATGTATTGCCTGAGATTTATATTATTAGATTCCTTTCGAGTAAGACCACAATATTTTTTGACGAAGGCGTTAATTTACTTTTTTCACTCGGCAGTTTTTTCTAAAAACTAAAATTATATATATGCTGTAAAATGTGTATAGTTTAAAATTTATTTAACTGCATGTTTGCAGAAGGAACAAAATAAGCAGCGTCCCTTACCAATATATAAAATAAGGCAAACCAAATGTAAATCTTTTTACCACTGAACTAAGGGGTTTACTGTTCGTCCAAGAATCACAGCAGCATTTTGCAAATGTCAGTTGCAAACACCACTGCTGAAAAAACAAATATTTCAAAACTCAGATTATTCCTGTTCAATAATTTCCATTTCCAAGAATAATTTAAATATACGCACACCATGTTTGGATGCTAAGGACTAAACTGCTTTGATCTTGTTAAAAGCCACATTTATTAGCTTTATGTTGGAATAAACATGCAATTATACCTAGATTTATTTGAAATATCTTGCTGCAGAGAAAGTCATTTTATTCAAAATAACTCGACGACACTGATATTTAAGAAATGGTATAGGAAGTGTTCACAGTTGATGCCTACCATGAATTTGCCACTGCGTGCGTATTTAAAGACGTTGCTTCTAAGGATACCAGTATAGCTACTATAAATGTTAAGATGCTTACGATATGTTTCTGTAGCGTGTAATTACTTTTAAATTCATGACGAATTTATTTTCAAAATAATAATTAATTATTTATTTGCTTATACGTGCATTTATGTAGTTTTAGTGTTTGTCGTAAATAAATACATATTTCAGATTCATTTAAAGTAGCATGCAGTATCTATTTTGGAGCTTTGTTAATAAGTAATTTATAAAAGTGTCTGGAATTTATAGAGAATTTTTGCTCAACCAACAAGATCTTAAGAGCAATATTTAAAGAAGTAGATTAAATTTTCAGCATAAATGAGGTAGCTTCCAAGTGTTGTGACACTGGTGATGTATTTCTAGATTTAATAGTATAATAACAATCTAAGCACCAGCTGGCTTTAAAATACTACTCTTGAGTTGCCTCACACTTCATCAACGCTCTTCCAGCTTTTGAAACATTATTATACCCTTTATTGGAGATTTGTTCGACAATACCATCGAAGTCGTTTTCATTGCACTAATATTTCAGGAAGAAGGATATAAATACTGTAGTATTCGACGCTGGGTTCAACTGATTTGTCAAATCTCCACTAATTTGAATTTCGGATTGTAAAAGAGTCCGAAATAACTTTATAATAAAAAGAAGACTTTTCAATAAGCAAAGAAATTAAGGATATAAACGCAATCTTAGGTGCACAAAAAGAGCGGAAAGAAAGCTGTCGAATGGTGTAGGTAGGAGTTCAGACACGATGAGATATCACAAATCTTTAGCACAGTTTACATGAGGCATTCACAAAATCAAAATGGTCTTACTATGTGATACACAAGCACATAGAGAAACTGAGATAACTATAGGTAATGTTGATACAGAAAGATATCTAGTATACAGTGATATTCAGAATACGAAATGATAAGAATAAAATACACAAACATACTATCAATTACGAGTGATTCACATATTATTATTTAATATGACCGTTGGTCATTTAGCATTATCTGAGAGCGGTAATTAAATAATTATAAAATTGGATAATGGAACGCTATTTTCTGTACGAATTTTATTCAAGTTGTGCTTTAGTTTGTGATAGGTAGACTGTAACTGAGGAATTCCCATTTTTTCCATTATTTTTGTTATTATGCAATAGAATGTATGTGTGAGGGCCATGAAAGATATTAGTGAGGAATCACTCCGAGATAATTGACTCACCTAGTCCAGAGTAACGTGGTTCCGTGGAAACGAAGATTGCAGTAATTTTATTTTTTCTTGTAAACAGTATTGTAGTAGGCTAGTCGATGTTTATCTCATTTTTCCATCTTGTAAGCCAGGTTTCAAATGAGTGAATGTAGTTTTGTTATGTTTGTATTGCTAGACGAAGAAACGCGTTTTGTGACAGGATCTACATAAAATGATAGTGTATTGTTGGGTGTTTGTAAGATGTCATTCACATGCAAAATAAAACGCCTAGGCCCAAGTACTGAATCCTTTGAAACGTTAGCCAATAAAGGGGAGGATTCTGTGTTAGAGATGGAACGAAACGTTTCTACTCGTTAGATAAGATTTAATGATGCTTGTGATGCCGCCTGGGATCCTTAAGGTGAGTAATTTATGAATGTGCCTGTCCAACGAGACTCTATTATAAACTTTGGTTATGTCAAGGAATAATTCAACAGTAGCCTTCTTATGCTGCAATCCATCGGAGATTAGATAATTTTTCTGTAGAGCTGGTGCGCTGTGGATAAATTCCTTCCGAATCCAAAGTACTGTGGGGAAATAACATTTCTAACTTCAATGAATGTGTTCAGTCTTGTCAATATTGCAGCCTCGTCAATCTTGCTTATGGATGATAACAGGCTGATAGACCGCTTGATGATGTTGAAAGCTTATTAAGCTTTTGAACAGAAGATCCACTGCCTTCTACAATGTTAGGTAATACTCATGTTTCAGAGTAATTATTAATAATCTTAAGCTAGAAAACCACCTTTAGCGGCAACTTCTTGGTCATTTAGTGATCCAGTCCAGGTCTCTTTCTACTGCTAATATTTCTGATATAGCGGCGGACTTCAGAAGGGAATACTGGAGTAATGTTTTTTAGTGGTGTTCGTTGCTACCTCTCTGAAAGCAATCACTCTGACAGTATATTCATGAAATAATTATAAGGGATCTATGAGTATTTTAGTTATACTTGTTGACACAAATCTTAATGGACAGTCATTTTTTTGTGTCAAATTCTCACGACAGAAGAAACAGAGCGTTTTCAATTCTTTAATATTTACTTTCTAGATAGAAATTCCCTTAACATAAGAGAATGAGCTGCTAAAAAAAGCGGTTTCAGAAATGCTTCAAACGTTTATTCAAAACGTTACAACAGTATGAATGAAGCTTTTAATAGCAAATCAAAATACTACAACAACTGAAAATCAACACTAGAAAATAGCTTACTGCGTAGAATAGTAACAGGACTATAAGAGCAAAACTATTGTAATGTAAGCATATTACTATGCAGTTTGTATGTACTTGTTAAAAATAATATTTCAAAGCAGTTTAAATTGACATTGAAAAGTCAATGTGTAAATGAATTACAAGTTTACTTTGATTATCTCAGTAAAAGTATTGTAAATATGAATTCAGATTTATATTTTTATACGGAAGAAATATTCTCTTTTGCCAGTCAGGTCAATGGTTATCTCAGGCGGCGCTCAGTATGACTGGAGCAACCACACTCCATACTTTGAAGATGCTTACTTTTAAAATTCATTCACATTAACAACTCTGTCTGTAAAACACCATATTTATAGATCAATGAGTATTCATATTACTGTCATTCTTACATTTTAAGCTCTCATTTCCTGAGATGCAAATATTAATATTCTTTTCGCTTCTGCGCACCTGTTCGAAGCGTACGTGTTTTTTTTTATTTGCCAGCTAAAGCTCTGAAATCTTCAGAATGTAACGATCGCTGTAGTAATATGCTGGTGTAGCTGTATTTTAAGCCATTGCGACTGAATGTATGAAATGTTATCATGCTGTTTTTTTTTCTCAAAGATTAAAGTTTTGTGAATTATCTTTAATTTTCTTTTTGTATCCGAAAGGTTTCGTGAGCTTCGACAACCCCGCTAGTGCCCAGGCTGCCATCCAGGCTATGAATGGCTTCCAGATAGGAATGAAGCGTCTCAAGGTTCAACTGAAGCGCCCCAAGGACGCCAACAGGCCGTATTAGCGTCGATTGCCCACCTCTACCGATCCTTACCTAATAAAGGTAAGTTTTTGCATGGCCATTAAAGTCAAATGCCAGAGATTTTCACGGCCAGTGTTGTTAGTCTCAAGCATTAATGCCATAATTATTCGCTGTAATGTTTAAAAACAAAATTTTTTTAGGAATCACCCATTTATAATACGTAGCTTATCCTGTTATTAATTAAGTACTACTTGTAATGAAAAAGGACTTTTTAGACTTTGATAAACTTTTATGACAATCAAAAGCCTCAAGGGAATACATTTTACTAACTGAAGAACCTTTCTCGATACTTTTCAGACAATTAAAGCCAAATTTGTGACTGAAAGTCTAGATTAGATTAGCAATATATGTTTTGCTTATTCCTTGTATTTGAAAATAGCATTCGAATTCCTTGACACAAAATTTGAAAATTCCTTTAGTTTAACCAGTGTATCTTAAATCATACTAAAAAAATATTTATAAACTCCTTTTTGAATTAAAATTAGAGTGAAATTTTCAAGAAATGAATATTGAATTTTGCTAATAGGAGAGAAATAACCTGAAAGTTGAAATTCTGGAGATTCCGAGCAATTTTGTAACTGATGGAAGAATGAAAAAGAATAATGACAAGATTTATTAACATTATTTTTTAGCAAATAAAAATCTTCTCTGATTGCAAGGCGATAGCTAATTTCAAAAACTGAGTTCGTGAGATAGCAAAGATTCTAAAGAATAAACTATAAGAAGAGCGCGATATACATAAGAGTAAACAGAAACTATTTCTTATTTAGCATGAAGAGGCAAACACATAATATATAATTCTGAATAATTCAAATTTCCAACTAATGTTGAAAAATTTCTCAGGTACAATAACAATTTCCTCAGCGAAAACGAAAATCAGTATATTTTTATATCTCATATATTAATTCTATGAAGACTTTTGAATTTGAATAAATATTCCACTGTAAAAGCTTTGCACACGTAAGTATCAAATGTTTGTAAACATATTCTAAAAAGTAATTTTTTTAATTCGAAAAGAAAATTTTAAAATATAAAAAGTTTCTTCGAATAGTCTAATGACATGAAAAGATTATTTTGAAGTCCTTCGCTACCGTTTCTAAAAACTATTTCAAATTTTATTTGGTATAATATTGTATTATTAGAGTTACATTCCTGTAAAAACATACTATATACAAATGGATAAGAAAATACATTAGTTTGTGTTTCCTTTGAGATGCATTTCTTCCAGAAATGTAAGAGGCATTCATAACTGAGAGTTATGTTAAAACTTCTCATCTTTCTTTTGCGATTCTTTATAACAAGGATACAAAGTAGGGATGGAAAACAAGAAATTTTGGATTTTAATAAAAATATACAATTTGTTGAGCAAGAAAAAATTATTCAATTTCAGCTTTGCAGTTCTGTTTATCATGCTTGAATATACCCATTATGTTTACATGCATATAGTATGTGTAAACCTCAAATAAACAGCGTTATTTTTGAAAGGATGAAGCTATATAAGTAATACATGTGTCTTTTATTATAAAAGACAACAGTGTTTTACCTCATATCTTAATAGAACCTAGACTTAAAAATGAATCGAATTGTTTTATTTTATTGTTAAAAATGATTGCTCGATGACAGAAATTACAAATATCAGAAATTTAGCAAAAGATATAAAATGAAAATTTATAAAAATTTATTGGAATGATTTATCTTTTTAAAAGTATGGAATAAAAATACGAAGTTCATTTCCACAACTTTTCTTTTGTTTCGACTTAATATAAGGCAGTCAAGATTAGAAATATAATAATAATACAAAATAACATTATAAATATTTTGCTTTTTATAAAATTAAAATCTGTTCTTTTTTCTAATAAATCATTTGATAAAGAGTCACGCAAATCTCAAACGTCAAACTCACTTTTTTTTTCCATATAAAACTCCTTTCATTTATATACACTCATGTCCATAAATTAAGGATAATTCGGAGTCACTCTGAAATAGAACTCTAAAATAAATGTATCACCTGTAAAATCACTACACACATCTTCAAGAATCTTATGCAAATTTCAGGAAGTAACCAGATTACACCGATGGTACATCACAATGACGAGAGTGTAAGAGAGTGATATATAAGGAATACAGGGAAGGAAGTAAAATTGTTCGCAGGCGCTTTATAAGCATTTCAGTGCAATAACCGAATAGTTATGACGCAAAGGACGCATTTGGATGATTTTTTACGTAGTAGAATTATCGGCCATCTGGAATGTGGGCGTACCCAACTGGAAGTATCAGACGAACTTGGAATTGCCCAAAGTGTCATCTCCAGGCTTTGGCAACGATTCCAAGATGATGGTAATGTGAGTAGACGTTACAGCACAGATCGCCCCAGAGTTACAACGCCGAATGAGAACCGGTATTTGGAAGTTAGAAACAGGCACCAAAAGAAACAGGCAGAGCTTCAGCCAGTGGTTTTCAAGGCAGACCGTGTACAGACGCTTAGGGCAGATTGATCTATATGCTCGTAGACCTGTCAGATGCGTTCCACTTACTGCAACTCACTGTCGCCTGCGGTTAGCCTGGAGTAGGGAGCATGCATTGTGGACACCGGAACAGTGGGCTTGTGTGAAGAATTATCGGCCATCTGGAATGTGGGCGTACCCAACTGGAAGTATCAGACGAACTTGGAATTGCCCAGAGTGTCATCTCCAGGCTTTGGCAACGATTCCAAGATGATGGTAATGTGAGTAGACGTTACAGAACAGATCGCCCCAGAGTTACAACGCCGAATGAGAACCGGTATTTGGACGTTAGAAACAGGCGCCAAAAGAAACAGGCGGAGCACAGTATCAGACCTGTCTCGTCAGCTCTCTTCAGCCAGTGGTTTTCAAGGCAGACCGTGTACAGACGCTTAGGGCAGATTGGTCTATATGCTCGTAGACCTGTCAGATGCGTTCCACTTACTGCAACTCACTGTCGCCTGCGGTTAGCCTGGAGTAGGGAGCATGCATTGTGGACACCGCAACAGTGGGCTTGTGTGATGTTTTCCGACGAATCCAGGTTTAGCTTGCAGTCTGATTCTCGCCGGACTTTCATATGGAGAGCTCCAGGTACCCGTTACCACCAAGAAAACATCATTGAACGACACCGTTACGGTGGTGCAGGAGTGCTCGTTTGGGGTGGAATTATTCTGGGTTCCAGAACTGACCTGCATGTTCAAATTGGAACCATGACAAGCCAAATCTATCGGGACGTCATTCTGGAACAACATGTACGTTTGTTTCGGGGCGCCATGGGCGCACAATTTGTGTTTATGGATGAACAACGCCCGTCCTCACCGTGCAAACATCGTAAGCGAATGCCTTCAATCGGAGGATATCACCCGTATGGACTGGCCAGCATTCTCACCGGACTTGAATCCAGTAGAGCACGTGTGGGACATGCTTGGCCGACGAGTTGCAGCCCGTCAACCTCCTCCTACATGTCTACCGGAACTTCGGAGAGCATTGCTTTTTGAGTGGTGTAATATCCCCCAAGATCAGATCGATAATTTGATACTCAGCAAGCCTAGGCGTTGTACGGACTGTATTGCATCGTCTGGGAGACATACAATGTATTAACAATCATACCAACCATGTAATATTGGTTTTTGTAATTTGCTCCAGGGAGAAAAAATCGCTAATTTTTTTAATAATATCAAACATATAGCATCTTTTTTTTTTTTTTTTTTCTCTTTACTCTTTGTTTAATAAATAAGCTTTACAAATAGGTCAAATTTGTTTTGCTTCTAACTCTTCCTTTGACTGATTTTGCATTATCCTTAATTTATGGACATGAGTGAATTTCGTGCCCATACCATTTTCAGTACAAATGTAATTCACACCTGCATTGAGTTATACTTCAGTCTTTTAAATCATCTTTACGTATGCTAATTGAAACTATTTCAGATGATACTCTTATTAGATTCAGATGATTGTGCAAGCCTTGCACTTTTTTTTTATTTGAATCCATGCAGAATTACACTAATACATAAGAGTAAACAGAAACTGATAGCTGATTCAAAAATATGGATGTTTGTGACACTTTTTGTAATGCTTCAAGCGTGAAGCTTTCGACTTTCTCAACTAAAAAATTTACTCTCGTTTAATTTTCTTTTAACTTTGATAGCACCTAGAAATTTTATTAAGTGTAGGCTACACGCAAGGTACCTAGAACTGATAGCTGGATTTCATTTTGTGCTACCAATGTTCTAGTAGTAAAATGTAATCGGGCACTATTCTGGAGTAAAACCACTGCATTTTAAGCTAATCTTGTCTTCCCTTCATTATGACTCCATGCAAATGATTTCCAAGTCGTTTATACGATTGTCACTTCTCATTGTCTGCCCACTGCTATGCAGTGCTGGTATATATAATTGTAATAGATAACATACCGGAGCATATTTTATCGGTCAGTCACAAATGTAACTAACTATCTTGTAGTGCCTCCATCATTGAAATACTGAAACACTGCTAAATGTCTCATCACCTAAAATATTTTAAGTGTTTTTTCACGTCTGTTTCCCAATTTAACGTAACATTCAGTGGCATTTCTGCCATATAGTCGTAAAAACACCTTCCTCATCTGACACTACAAAACATGCTATCGCTGTGCTTCCATTTGGTGTGATCAAGAACTTTAAGCATTGAATGAATATCTGATACACTGCATATGTAGTGCATATCAGCCTAAATGATCCAGTCGACGAGATATGAAGTTTTAAACTTCCAGTGCGATAAATTGCTCATACAGTACGTTTCATTAATCATATAATACACTACAACACAACGCAGTACAATAATCTTAAAATACAATACTGTTGTGTAGTCAAATTAAATTACAATTAATAATTAGCAATTACATTAACAATGCTTTGCAATATATAGGAGTTTCAAAACAATATACATATGTTATGCATTTTAGGTGATTTTCAGAACATTTTTAATGTACATGTACAATGTCTTGCATTCATTAAAATACTTTAATTTTACAAAACAATA